TATCCAGTGGGCCCCCAATGCCATCACAAGTGTCTTTGTGAGAGGAGTAGAGGGAGACTGGAGAGGAGGAGGTACCATGCAAAGATGGAGCAGAGAGATTTGGAGATCCTGTATTTCAAGATGGGAACGATGTGGCCACAAGCCTAGGAATGCCTGGGGCCACCAGAAGCTGGGAAGACAAGGAAGGACCCTCCCCTGGAGCCTCATAAGGAGCACGGCCCTGCCCACACCTTGATTTCCCAGTGATACTGATTCTGGACTTCTGGCCCTGGTTTCTGGTCATTTGTTATGACGGCCCCAGGACACTCACCGGTGCCTGTGCCCTCTTCCGTGCGGTCTCCTGGATGCTCCAAGGTCCTCGCCCCCTCCCCATAGCGTACCTCTCGTGACAGAGCGCTCAGGCACCCAGCTGCTTCCACAGGGATGCGAGAAAGAGGACGCAGGAGGAAAGAGGTTAGTGCTCCTCAGGTTCTGATGTTTCTATCATGAGCATCCTTTACTCTTACAACCATACACGCTCCCTCCTGCCAGCCCTCCCCAACACGGCTGTTCTCAGCCCTGTCTTTTTTCTGGCTGACGACTGAACGCAGGAACCACAGGAGAGCCTGGCTCACAGTGGGCTTGTGTGAGGTTTCATCAGCCTCAGATGCAAATGATCTTTCTTATGAAGACTGCCTCCTAGGGATTCGAGGTCTCCGCTGCTCCTCTCTCCTTCCCTGTCCTCTTGTGCTCACCTGTCGCCACCCGGCAGCAGGCCCCAGGCCACCTCAGGGAAGAGATGGTGGCATCCACTGCAGGCGCCAAGGTCACACCTGATTCCACCTTTCCACAGAACTATGTCTGCCATTTAAACATTCTTGAGAAATGCTGGTGATTTTGCATTCGCTCATTCCCCACGCAGCTGACAATCTGGATCAAACCGCCGCACGGGAAGTTTGGCCCTTTCTACTGCGAGTTATTTCAGCTCCAACATCTGGGGCCCCTTATGGTGGTGTTTTTCCTACGTCCTTTTCAGTTTAGAGCCACATGCTCGGACAAAGCTCTCTGACTCCCCTTCTGCTGCCAGCGGAGAAGACTCTGCTTTTAAAGGTCAAGCCCACCAGATAATCTCCACATCTGAAAGCCAGCTGCCTTGAAGATTCACTGACATCTGCCCAGTCCCTTCACAGTGGCCCCTAGACAAGTGTTTTGAGGGACTGACCAGGGCATCTTTAGAATTCTGCCTACCACACCCGTGATACAGTAGCTGCCACGGCCCCACGTGTGTCAGAGTATAACTGTGCTCCATGGGTTTTCAATGGGTAATTTTTTGGAAGTAGATTGAAGGCCTTTCTTCCAAGGAGCCTCTGGGTAGACTCAAACCTCCAGCCTCTGAGCAGCCGAGTGCCCATCAGGCCCACATGTTTACGAATGTGTTTATTTCCAAGTTGTATCCAAGGATGAAGCTCCAGCCCACCCCTGGTGTGAGAGGCAGTCTCAGCCCCTGCTGAGGCATCAGAATCACAGTAGCTCCTGGCCGCAGCAAACGCTCTGGAATAGACAGACCTGGTTCTGTGAGTCCCGGGAGCTGGCTGAGCCAGGTTTCCTGGCCGCTGTGCTACCACAGGGGGACACCTTCAAAGGCCCAGCACAGAGCCCGGTTCCCTGTGCCGCTGGGCTGCCATGAGTGTCATGTCTGCAGCGGGCCACGCACACGACCTTCTTCTGAGGGACTTCTCTTTTCTTTGTAAATACTACCTGCTTCTTTGTTGGGCAGGAGTCCCTAGGTGGTACAAATGGCTAAGTGCTTGGCTGCTAACCAAAAGGTTGGAGGTTTGAGTCTACCTAGAGGCACCTTGGAAGAAAGGCCTGGCGATCTACTTCTGAAAAATCAAGTCACTGAAAACGCAGTAGAGCACAGTTCTACTCTGACACACATGTGGCCCCCGAGTTGGAGTCAACTCTTTGGCAACTGGTTTGGTTTTTGGTTCCTTGTTTCAGGTGCCTTACGCTGTTCGGTGGGCTCAGCCCTCCCTCTCCACCCCACCCCCAAGAGCCCAGGGCTGGGCGTGCACTCAGAGGGATGTTCCAGGCCTCCTGTACAGCTACTTTGTCCCCACGTGCTGCGAGACTGTGTCGTGGGGACGTTCCAGGCGTCAGGACTGTGGGGAAAGGACCCCTATGTGCACTGAGGAAGGAGCACTAGTGGTGCAGTGGTTAAGTGCTCGGCTAGTAACCAAAAGGTCAGTGGTTCAAACCCACCAGCCGCTCTGCAGGAGGAAGATGTGGTGGTCTGCTTCCATTAAGATTACAGTCTGGAAACCCTATGGGGCAGGTTCTACTCTGTCCTATAGGGTCGCTATGAGTCAGAATTGGCTGGACTACAGTAGGTTTGGGTTTCGGGTGCGCTGAGGAGCAGTTCTGGGCATGGCCACAAGGTGGCAGTACAGGCAAGCCTCCAGGGAAATCTGTGGTTCTGAAACAGATGTGGCACTGCTGGCCCTGACCCCAGGAGGCTCAGGTCCTCAACGTGCATTGCCACGGGGACAATCTGTGTGTCACAGGACACAGCTGTAGAGTTATCACTTTGTCATCGGTCCCCATGCTGCACTGTGAGCGCGTTACGGCAGGATGCTCATCTTGACCCCAGGTCCCCAGGAAGAGGGAGGCAATCAACATTTTCATCAGGTCAGCAGGCCAAGGCACTGCCCGATGTCGCAGCGAATGAGATACGTGATTGTTTTTAGTTTTACTGTAGAAAATTGCAAACATATACAAAAGAAGAGAAAATGGTCATATCCCAACAGTCCTCTTAACACAGCTCAGCAATTATCAACACTTTCCCAATTGTTTTTCCTGTGCACACTTTTTATTTTTTTACTGAAGTATTTATAAAGTAAATTTCAAACACTGTGGCAATTGTAAATACTCAGTTCGCATCTCTAAATGATTAGGACACTTTCACATCACCACCAGGCCACTATCATTCCTAAGAAAAGCATCAATAATTCGTTACTATTATCTAATTGTTGCTGTTGCTGTCAAGTCTGCTCCTACTCGTGGTGACCCCATGTGCGACAAAACGGAACGCTGCCCAGTCCTGTGTCATCTTCATCATCACCGGTGTGCTTGAGTCCACTGCGGAGGCCGCCGTGTACTGGGAGTGCCTTCTAGCCTGCAGGGTTCATCTTGCAGCACTGTGTTCTGTTGTGATCCAGAGGGTTTCCACTGGCTCATTTTTGGAAGTAGATCACCAGGCCTTCCTTTCTAGTTTGTGTTAGTCTGGAAGCTCCATTAAAACCTGTCCACCATGGGTGCCCCTGCTGGTATTTGAAATATCTGTGGCATAGCTTCCAGCATCACAGCAACAAGCAAATCAACGCAGTATGAAAAACTGACAGATGAGTGGTAGTATCATCTAACAACAAATTTACATTCAAATTTCCCCAACTGCCTCACAACCATCTTGTTACAGTTAGTTTGTTCTATCCTGATCCAAACAAGGTCCACACATTCAGCTCAGTGACATCTGTTAAGCTCTTTTATTCTCTAACAGTCCCACTTGCTTTTTTTTTCCAGGCCCTTAACTGATTAGAATAGCCAGTCATTTGTCCTATGGGACATCCCATCCTCTGAATTTGGCTGTTTGCCTTCTTCCGCACGTGTCCGAGGGCCTGCACCCAGTGGGTGCTCTGTCAACACTCGTTGAATACACGGTTTTAATGGGAGTAAAGTCGAAGAACAAATGATTTGGTCTCAACAAAGGTAATGTCACAGGTGACTCTTTACTTGGGAGACCAGAGGCCCCGGCCAGACGTGAGCCACACTGGGCCCCGCGGTGTAGGGAGGGACAGAGCCCAAGTGGGGCAGCCTCCCCCAGCACCTCGGCTCCTCCCGTGCGTCACCTGAAGCACCGACCTCGGTCAGATGAATTCAAACATTTGAATCTACGCGCTGTGGTTGTCCCCAAAATTTTCCTATGCACTGTTCCTATCTTGTTATTTATTGTTTTGAGAAAATTGGAAATAGAAAAATAACATACACCTATATTCCCATCAAAAGGAACCCTGGTGGTGCAGTGGTTAAGCGCTTGGCTGCAAACCAAAAGGTCGGCGGTTCCAACCAACTAGCCGCTCCGCGGGAGAAAGATGCGGCAGCCTGCTTCCGAGAAGAGTACAGCCTTGGAAACCCCATGGGGCAGTTCTACTCTGTCCTATAGGGTCGCTACGGGTAGGAATCGAGGTAACGGGTTTGGTTTTTGTTGTTCAATTCCCATCAACCAACATCAAAACTGTTAAAATGTTGTCGTACTTGTTCCGGTTTTGTTAGGGTTTTTTAATAGATAAAACACAGATACAGTTCCAGTCCCCTTAACCACCACCCCGGATTTCCTTCGCCCCTCCTTCCTCACCCCCAAAAGCAGTCAGCATCAGGGAGTTTTCCCAGACGCCTTCACCGTCGCTTTCTAAAATACCTGAAATGGCCATTTTGCTTTTTTCTTTGCCCCTGCGCCTGACTGGTCATTCATGTCACAGCCGAGGGCTGCGTGCCCGGCACCGTTCTCTCTGCGGGGACGTGGCGGGTACAGGGCAGGGGCCTGCCTCAGTCCCGAGCTCACTTTCCCGAGACGCGAGGCCGGAGGGGCGATGGAGGCCTGAAAAGCGTCGTTCACTTGGCTACAGCGGGCGAATGTGCGGCGGCCTCGGTCTCCTCACGAAGAAATGGCGCAACCAGGCCGCCGCCGTCCGAGATCGCGCAGCCGGAACGCCGGCACCTGGCACGGGATCCGCCCACTCCCCTCCGCTCCCCTCCGCCCCGCCCCATACTTCCTCCCCATTGGTTCTTCCTTGGTTACGTCCCGCCCACAGAGGCTCCTCCCCTTGCTCCCTTCACCTTTCACCTCTTCACCTTCTGGGGCTCCCGAAGGCCTCAGACCCCGCCCCCGAACTGCAGGTATTGGTGTGCTGTCTGTCCATCATAAAAAATGCGCTCTCGGATTAGCTGACGGGAGGGTAGGTGGGCGGGGAGGCAGGCACCGAGTCTGCGCGGGTTGCGCAGCCCGAAGGCGCGTGCGCAGTGGCGGCAGGCGTCATGGCGGCTCGGTGTGTGTGGCTGGTGCGGCGCGCTCTCCCGGTCTTGGGGCGGCCTCTCAGGTAAGGAGCACCACTGCCTCGGCTGGGGGCGCAGATCCTCGGGGCGCCTCTGCTCTGGCAGCGGCCCTTGCCCCGATTTGGGCGGGCCCGGGAGCTGGGTGTCCATGGGCCCCGAGTGGCCCCGGCCGGAGAGCCGGAGGGTTGGCGGACCGCGGGGCCGGGGAGGCGCGGGGTCGTGGGACCGGGGGACCACGGAGCCGGGGGACCGCGGGGTCGGAGGGCCGGGGGGATCGGGAGACCCGGGGTGGGGGCGCGGGGTCGCGGGGCCCCGGGATCGGGGTCTCCGGTGGAAGGGTCGGTCCTCCCACGCTGATTGGCCGCTGCGTGGGCGCCCGGAGACGCGGAGCCGACAAGCGCGGCCCCGAGGCCGAGCGGCCAGCTTCCTCAGCTCCCCGCGCCCCGTCCCCGCCCTGGGCTGTCCGCTCGGCCGAGTCCTCCGCCGCCTCCGGAGCCTCGGGTCAGAGGAGCCGCGGGGCCTGTCCGCGGGCGGAGGAATCACTTGACCAAGCGCGGCGGCTCCAGGGGAGCCGAGCGTCACAGAGTCGGGACCCGTCGTCTCTTGTTTTTCTCATTTTTTTAAACGCGGTTTCCGGTTTCTGAAAGTTCTACTGCCTTACCTCAGAAGTTCGTTTAGCGTCTTCTGTGTCGGAGGGAAGGGATTTGTTAGAGAAGCTGCTCTGGGCAGACGTCGGGGCAGAAGCCGGTGGGTAAGACGCGATCTGTCCCTCAGCTCACCCACTGGATGGGGACACCCGGCAGGTCCATCCAGTTGCCAGTGGACTAAATTATATAAAACAGAAGTACGCGGCTGCAAAGCTTGGCGACCCAGCTGCAGCACCTGCATAGAAAGGCTTTTTTCCCTTAACAGTGCCCCATAGGCTAACAAGTTCCCGGGCGATGCTAATGCTGCTGGTTAGAGACCAATTCTGAGAACTGCTAGTGGAGTAATGGTTCTCAAAATTTACTGTTCGTAAGAATCACCTGGGCATCTTGTTAAACTGTAGATTGTGATTTAGTATATCTGGAGTGGAAATGCAAATTTTCATCGGGGTTTGCACCAAAACCAACCGGTTCAAAGCCCTGCCAGTAGCACATCCATGGCGACTCATAGGGACCCCGTAGGACGAACAGAACTGCCCCTTAGGGTTTCCAAGGAGCAGCTGGTGGATTCGAACTGATCTTTTGGTTAGCAGCTAAGCTCTTAACCACCGTGCCAGCAGGGCTCCATGGCACATCCAAGAGACAACAATTCCTTTAGTAGCGGCACAACACTCCAGATTGTAGACGCAGCAGCACTGTCGCCAGCCTGTCACCGTGCAGGGCTGCAGCAAACATCCTTGTCGGTGCAAGCTCAGGTGCTGAGAGCTTTCTGTTCATTTGGGCTGTCTTTTTTCATCTGGGAAAATATTGAATGGTGTCTACTTTCAGATTGGACTGTGACCTAATAAAAAGAGTGCCGCTGGTCCTGGTGAAGAAACCTGGGTTTTTAAGACTATTCTGTCGCTCATTGATGGCTTGTGACCTTGGGTATAGAGCTTAACCTTTTTGGTGTGGGAATCCGATTGGGTAATACCCAAGGTCACTTGATAGTGAGTTTTTGCGTTTGCCTGTTTCCATCCTGTGCTTTCTCACTGCCATGCCTTGGTGTGAGCTGTCCCTCCCCCTGGACTGTGTGCTGGCCTGTCCCTCAGAGCCTCTGCACACAGCCCGTCACATCTTCTGTTTCCCTGGGTGAGAAATGTTCTCCCACTCTGACACTCCAAAGCACTTGGCCTCCCTTTTACCACCTTTAAACCCCGAAGTTATCTTTTTTGCATGACTGTTAAGTGCCCTGTGGCAAAATCTCTGCTGGTCATTTTTGTAATCAGCAGCGGCACTGGGCCTCACCCAGGAGTAGCTCCCCATAGCACATGGCAGGGGCGGGTTTGGATGGCATCGCTTCAGGAGGACGAGTTTGGGATGGAAAGAGGAGGGTAGTGGTGTAGCCTTGATATGTGGACATACCAGGCTAAGCGTGTCCTGCAGATGTTCTGTAAGTAAACAGCTTCTACGTATTAAATAGAGGGCGGTGGGGGCTCTGTGGTAGAATTCTCGCCTTCCATGTGGGAGTTCCCAGCCAACGCACCTCCTGCGCAGCCACCACCGCTCTGTCATTGGAGGCTTGTGTGTTGCTGTGATGCTGAACAGGTTTCAGCGCAGCTTCCAGACTAAGGTGGACTAGGAAGAAAGGCCTGGTTATCTAATTCCAAAAATCAGCCAGTGAAAACCTATGGATCACAGTGGTCTGATCTCATACCTGGGGTCGCCATGCGTCAGGGCCAACCCCACAGCAGCTAACAACAACAATGTATATCAAATATGATTTGCCTTTACTAGATCTAAAGAAGTCGTCTCCTCAACAAATCAGTGGCAAATAGTTTAAAATTATCCCAGCTTTCTAAAACCATACCTCTGGCTTTAACAAGCAAAATAACAAACACAAATCTTCATTTCCAACGTGCGGCCTTTTCCGTAGGCCCGCTCCCCGGTTGCTGTGCACGGCCACCAAACAAAAGAACAGTGGCCAGAACTTGGAGGAGGACTCGGGTCTGAATGAACAGAAGGCGGACCCTCCGTCCGCAGAGAAGGTGCTCCTGGAGGAGAAGGCCAAGCTGGAGGGGCAGCTAAAGGAGATGATGGTAAGGCCTGGCCGGCTCTGCAGGTGGGCACCGGCTGCTGGTGTGAGCTCTGCCGGGGGCGAGACACAGGGTTCTTCAGCCAGCCTTCGGTCAGCGTCCGGGTGTTACTGATGCAGAGGCCAAGTTCCAGCACACTCCTGCCATTTGTCCAAGTCTTTGTGGCTCTGGTTCTGTCATGAGAATCATCTTTTTGTGCTACATAGATTGTAATGAGTTAAGGCCTAAAATGGTCTTTTCAAAGGAGGGATTCCTGGGAGGGTGGTTTAAGCCACCGGGTTCTGGGGAAGGAACTAAAGAATGACAAGAGCTGGGAGTAGGGGTGTGGTTTGGGGGTACTCGTGGGAGTTGGGAATTTTATGAACTAGTTAGTAGTGTGGATTATAGTGTATATAGATGAGCTCCACGTGAAGAAACATGGGTGGCGAAATCAAGTTCTCTGAGGATTTCAGAACAACATGAAAGACTTAAGTGCCAGCACTGTTGTAAGCTCTTTATATATATATATTAACCCTCATGATCCTCTGAGTAAACTGCTAACACCCCACTTTACAGATGAGGAAACTGAGCCACAGAAAGATTGCATAAACCTCCCTACGTCACCTAGCTATCAAGTGGCAGAGCCGGGATTTAAACTGGGATAGTCTAGCATGGAGCCCGTGCTCTTAACCACGGCCCTGTAGTGTCTGAGGATTGAAAATGGATGGACTTTAGATGCCCCTGCAGACTAACCGAGTAGGTGTTACAAGTAGACAGACTCGGGAGGTGAGGTGACAGGAGAGGTGAGCGGTGAGGAAGTCACCAGAAGTTAATGGTGGTTACACAATAAATGAAGTGAGTCGCCTCTGGGCGGCGTCCGAAACAGCAAAGGCTCGTGGGTGGGGAGAGGCCTCCGTCCTGCCCACACGCGTCGCTCACCCTCAGCCTTTCCTCCAAGGGGTCGTTGCCCCCACGAGGGTGCCAGGATTCCTGACTGAGTTGGGAATCCTGCTGAGGAACTTGGTGGCCCTTCTGGAGGGCTGATGAGAAGGTGAGAAGCGCAGCAGAGGTGGCCTTCCCCTGTCCTCTTCCCTCTGCTGTGTGTTTGGATGAGGACAGGCTGGGGCTGCAGAAGGACTCACACAGGGTGGCTTCTTCCCACTCGACATGGTGACACTTTAAGGTTCTTCTCACTGAGCTGCCCTCACTGGACCGAAATCTCAGAGTAGTAGCAGACGTCACTTGGGTTTTAACTTGGAGTTTGTCCCGTAGTCACTCTTGATTCCTTTACTTCCCTGTGGGCCTGTTCTGTTTTCTCCACGTAAACTTTGTTTCTGTTTTCGTAAGGAAAAATACAAGCGCGCTCTGGCAGACACCGAGAACTTGCGGCAGAGGAGCCAAAAGCTGGTGGAGGAGGCAAAATTATACGGTGACTGAGCCTCGGATGACGCTGGTGCTGGGGGGGGTTCCGTGGGATGGGGAGGGGCGCGTCCAGCAATAACAAGGGGGGCTGGCCAGTGGTGGAGGGCGGAAACTGCCCGTTGCCCTCGCGCTGGTGTTCTAAGATGGACCCGCTTTACTGCCGGCACATACTGAGAAATAGACAGCGCTCAGCGGTGGTGCCGCCCGGCGCAGGACGAGTTATGCTCAGCAGGAACCCCAGTGAGTCTGCCTCAATAGACGTCTGCTTTCTTACCGACACCAGAGTCTGTCTCTGAGGGCCCTAAAATGTGTGCATTACTGCCTGTCACTGTTCTTGTCACTGGCCCTCCCGTTTTACAGTTGAGATCATCGAGGTTGACAGAGCTTAAGCGACTTGCCCGTCACAGGGCCGGTGAGGCCTGGCTGCGGCACTGAAGCCAGCGCCTCCGACTCCGCTGCCGTGTCTTCATGCAGCGGCAAGTTAGGTGGGACCTTCCCCGCGTTGCAGATAAGGGCCGGTGGCTCAGAGTGGGGTTCAGTGGGTGTCCAAGGTCAGACAGGCTGAGCGGCCGCACGGAAATGGAAGTCCAGGTCTCTTCTCGCCAGTCTCTGGCAGCACGAGCGAGACATGGGGTCACTCTGGCAATTCTGCTACCACCGGGTCGGGAACTGTCACCACCCTCTGGGGCCAGAGAGGTCAGGTGACTTGACACTACACAGCTGTTAAGGCACCCAGCTGGTAGGGTGCCAGACCCTCTGCTCTTGCCGCCTGTGTGCAGTACGGTTTCCCGTGGGAGCTGTCCTCTTTGGGGGACGCTGTCCCCATCTGTCTAGTGCAGAATTGCAGGGGAGATGGTTCTGTAAGTTTTCAGCTGCCTGTTTTCTTCTTCCCTTCATTGCATGAAAACAGACATTCTTCATGCCTCCTTAGCCCTGGTCTCATCCAGCAGAGATTTTTGTTAGTAAACTATAGAAATCCGGGGGAGATGAGCGGCAGTCTGCACAGAAAGTCAGCCAGCCGATGGCTGTGAGCCGCGCTGTGTGGTCGGTGTGGAACGAGGCTGACTTTTCCTCTCGCCTCTGCAGGCATCCAGGGCTTCTGCAAGGACCTGCTGGAGGTTGCAGACATCCTGGAGAAGGCCACGCAGAGTGTCCCCAAGGAGGAGGTGAGCGAGGACAACCCCCACCTCAAGAGCCTGTACGAGGGCCTGGTCATGACTGAGCTGCAGATCCAGAAGGTGTTCACGAAGCATGGCTTACTCAAGCTGAACCCTGTGGGGGCCAAGTTCGACCCCTACGAGCATGAAGCCTTGTTCCATGCGCCGGTGGAGGGCAAGGAGCCAGGCACGGTGGCGCTGGTCAGCAAGGTGGGCTACAAGCTGCATGGGCGCACACTGCGGCCCGCCCTGGTTGGCGTGGTCAAGGACGCGTAGCTGCCGCTCAGGGTGGTCTGTTTTTCAGTCACTTGCTGTGACTCTCAAAAGGCTGGCCCACCCGCTCTCACCTATGACTACTTTTGGCCCTTTCCCACACCTTGTTGGGAAGCTTTCGTAACCCGTGGCTAAACAGAAAACTAAGCCGGTTGCAAAACTGTGCCGTTGGACGGACTCCAACTCGGAGGTCTGTCGGTTGATTTTTAGCCCACGATTCCTAGACCCACGTACTTAAAGAGGGCCTGCGGGACACTACGGGCCGGTAGAGTATCATGAATCATGCTGTATCTGCTCAAACTGGTGTCGTAAAGCTTAAACGAATAAAGCGTCTTCAGGAATCCTCGTCTGGCTACCTGGACACGCCGTCTCTGCGTCTCTCTCCTGCAGCTCACTGTCTTGCGTGAGTTGCTGGAACCCCACGCCTGCTACATGTCACTCAGTTAAGAGAAGAGGCAAGAGTGAAAACGTTTTTCTTGCCAAAGACATTTTTCTGATCTTTGTGAGGAATGGATACGGGCCTGTGTAGAACTAGTTACTGTCTAGCTGCTGAAAATGACTGGCTCCAGCCGCCTCTCTGGAGGTCCGATGCGAACGTTGACACTTAACAGTTCTTGCCATCTTCGTTTTGCCCGTAATTGCATTTGACAAAATCCAGTCTTTCTGCAGTTGTCATCTACATGCAGAAGTGGTTTAATCTCTTTTCAGATAGTGACTAACAACCTCGAGTTACATTCCCAGTAAGATGGACTTTCTCGGAGGGAGGGCTGTGTGCTTGGCAGACTTTACATGTAAATGTTTCAGTGTAAGATGTTATTTCAGAGGATTAAAGCCCTAATATATTTTACCTTCCCACTTTGATAACTATGTTGGGAGAGATCCTGAGCCACCAGGGAACAGGTGCCTTAGCTTGGCCTTTCTGCTCCAATCCTGAGATCACGTAGTTCACAAAACGCGCGAGAACGTGCGTGAGCGGCTGTTCTGGGGGCGGGGGAGCCACTTCTTGGCATTGGGGCATGGGTGGGCCAGCAGGCACTAGGAGCCACAGCACGACGCGCGTGCACCCGCCTGACAGGCGGCCTGGCCCTCCACTCCCGCTTTACATTCGTTCTCGTCAAGGGCGCAGTGAGAGATGGACTGACTGAGGTATTGCTTCTGAGAGGGCCGCTGGGACTGGAGGGTGATCCTGTGAGGTTCATTTACTGCTGAAAAAGGTGGCATAGTCAGCTTTGTTTGATTTATAACTTTGAAAGACAGTATTCCCATGAGATTCCCTTTTACACCATTTTCCTCTAAGCTGCCTTAAGTTATTGTCAGAACCTTCCAGAACTCGCAGCAGCCCAGTGTCCTGGGGAAGGCATGCTGGGAGCCAGAGCCCTGCCCTCATCCAGTGGAGCTCGCCTGTCACATGGAGGCGGGGCCACGGGTCTTCAAGCCCGCTCCAGGAGGCATGCAGCCCCCAGCGCAGCTGGTCAAGGGCACAGAACACACCACGTAGTCGGGGCAGCTTGCTGGCCAGCAGCCCTCAGTGAGTCCCAGTCACTTAGGGGCGGCAAACGGGAAACATCATTTAATAATGTCTGCCTTTACACAGAGCTAAAGGCTTGGTCACAACACTCAGTCACTGCAGTGTGGAGAACCCGAACCAGCTCCGTGGGGTCCCAGTGCCGGCTTGCAGTCCCGGCTTGCAGACGACATCTGTGGCCGTGACGCTGCTTCTAGAGAGGGAGGCTGGCGGGAAAGTGTTTCCACTTATCTATCAGAAGGCCACTTTGACTTGTTTTTTGGAGAAGCTGGTGTGATACGTAAGTGCTGGGCTGGACTGCGTCCTGCACTGCCTCTGAGGGGTTCAGTGCACGTGTGCGAGATGTCTGTGGGGTGCCCAGGTCACCCTGCAGCGGTGACACCGTTCCCAGCTTGCCCGAGACGTGAAGGGGTGACAGTGACCTCTGGGTCTGGGTTTCAGTAGTTCTCGGCATGTTGGCCATCACAGCACTACCGGGAATAGCTGAGGAATCACCGACTTTCTATTCAAACTTTTACCGCTGGTTTAGGTTTTGGAAATACCTGAAATGGGATCACGGTGGTCTGAACGGGCAGGGGGTGAGGATGAGTAGTGACGACAGCTGGACTGAGGGAGAGGCAGCCAGTCCCTGCTAACGTGCCAGCACTGCCGTGATTTAACCATACGTTCATCACGGTGCTTTATGCAGGCTTACGCAGGTTCACGCAGGTTCTCCACGCCACCCAGATGGTGCACTAAACCCGCCTCCGCTCAGGGCCCGGCCGGGCAGCAGCCACACATGCAGGCTGTCACTGAACTAGGACTCCGTGTTGTAGAAAATCAAGGAACAAGACGCCGGTGTAGCTAAAACCAGCGGTTCGCAGCTTCCGTGCACACCAGTCTTTGAGGGGGTTTGTGAAAGCACAGTCCCTGACCCAGGAGGACTGTTGGGTCCCCAGTGACAGCCCCCCTTTGACAACCGCCAGCTCAGACAGCTGTGAAAACACCAGCCGTGTCACTCGTCGGCAGTGGACAGTCTGGGCCGTATCCGCGCGGCAGGGATGACGCGGAGGCCCTGGGACGGTCACCCCGTGGCGCCATACTCATGTTGGCAAACTGAAGCTACAGGATTGACACAGTGCCCCAGAGCCAGCGCGCAGCGTCTCAACAAAAGCCATGTGCGAGTACTTACAATGTTTTATTTAATGGTGAAAACCTCCCTTAGGATAAACAGGGTTAAAAAAAAAAAAAAAGGAAAAGGCACCATAATTAAGTTTTCCTTGGAATCATGAGGTTTTTTTTTTTTTCTTTCAAATAACTGCTTTAATGGAACCTCAAGCCCAAACATCCTGGGAAGTTAACAGTCTTGGTACCGACGGGCAGGAGGGGCAGATGCTCAGAGCTCCGTGCCAGAGACAGTCACGTGGACTCGCTCAGCCGGCCGTGGGCGTGCAAAGTCTAAGCAGTGGGAAGACGGGGCCTTCAGGTCACAGGAGGTCACCGTGCGCGGCCCTGAGAGAGGCTCTGGGAACAACCGTTAAAGAGGCCTGTGAGGTTGGACTTGGGCAGACGATCCGAGGTGCCCCATTCCCTGCGCCGGGGCTCCCACGGGGTTGTTCCTCATTCTCCTGGCTAGTCGGGGGGGGGGGCGGTGACACCCTAAAGAGGACTTAGTCTGGCTACTGTGGTCACATTCTAGTGAGACAGGTATTGCAGCGGGGAGGAAGATCCCGGAGGAAGCTAACCTAGGACTCTCAACTCTCAGCCTCCCGGCCTTCCCAGGGAGACGCAGCCTCAGCAGACCCCCGCCGTGGACGTGCTTCTCGTGGGGCCTGGCCAGGCACCGGGCAGGTGAGACCCTGCCCTTCCCCAGGTGAGGCACGCCCATAGTCGTGTGCATGCTCGAGGGGCCGCGGCGTCCCCGCGGGGTCCCTCCTCGCGAGGTCTCTGAGGACCCTGCTGTCTCACGCGTGCGTGCAGGAGGCGCTGCCCCGGCCGCCCGTCTAAAGTGCTGCGTGCCCGGGCTGTGCTGCCAGGGCGGCAGCCGTGGGCTCCGAGGGGCCCGGGCGGCTCGTCTGCCGGGCGGTCACCAGGGCGCCGCCGTCCACGGCACGGTCGTCGGTGCTCAGGGGGCAGCAAGCTCGCAGGATAAAGGAGACTCTCCACTCTCGCAGCCTTCTCCAGGCGGACCACTCAGCGGCACGCCACCGTCTGAAAGTGGGACTTCCAGGCCTGTGTGTGACTACTGCTCCTCTCAGAGGCCGTGGGAAGAACCGCAGAAGAGGAACTCGGTCCCACTAAACAGAGCAACAAGGAGCGAACACGGCTCCTCCCGCCCCTCCTCCCCCAGCCCCGTGCGCCCGAGCGCGGGCCTCAGGCGGCGTCCCTGGATATCCAGCCGCTCTCCGTGAGGAAACTGAGAATCCGTTTCTTCAGGACCTTGTCCAGGTAGCTGGGGAGGCGGCTCTTGGCGGGAATGCCCTGCCGCTTCTGCAGGTGGTCTTTGATGATGATGGTCTTGGCGGTGACGTAGCGCGCGGGGCTCAGGTTCAGGGAGCTGCACAGCACCTTCTCGCGGTCCGACAGCAGCTCGAAGCCGGGCAGGTGCTCGATGGCCGCGAACTCGCCGTCCCGGCCGTCGTCCTTGGCCCGCTTGGAGGCGGCCAGGCCCCTGTTCTCCTTCCTCTTCTCCCGCTTGTGGCGCGCCGCCTCGTACTCGGCCGACTCCTCCAGCTTGGTGATGCCGTTGCGCCGGTAGCGCTGCAGCTCGCGGATCTTGGCGCGCAGCACCTTCTCCTTGTGCATGTTCTCGAACAGGTCGTCGAACTCCTTGCAGGACATGAACTGGTACAGCGGCCGCAGCTTGAGCCGCAGCTCCTTCTCCTCCTTGGTGACCTTGCGCTTGGCGGCCTTCTCCTTGTCCTTGCGGTCCTTGCCCAGGAAGGCCGGCACCAGGTTGTAGTCCCGGGCGATGTTCTTGCGCCGCTGCCTCTCTCGCAGCTTCCGCACGTACATGTCCACGTGGGCGCGCTTGAGCTCGATCTCCACGTCGTCGTCGTCGTAGTTCACCGACAGCCCGCTGATGAGCGTCTCGGCCTCCTGGTCGTACTCGATCTCGTAGTCGTCACGCAGCGGCATGTAGCCCAGCTGCTGCTGCTCGGCCACCGAGATGTCCAGCGGGGGCAGCGGCGTGGTAAGGCTGGGCGAGAGCGGGCCGCCGCCGGGGCACGTGTGGTCCGTGACGCGGTTGGGGATGGTGTCGGGAATGCAGGCCTTGCCCAGGTTGCCGTGGATGTACATGCTCACATAGTGCTCCATCACCTCCTGGGGCGTGCGGGACGCGCCCACGTGAGCGGCCATGTCCTCCTGCAACAAGAGGGCACAGCCAGCTCAGACCCACTGACGCTTCCCAACAGCCTCCCGTCACCCTGGTCCCTGCCTCCCAGAGGTCACTGGTTCCACCTTCCCTCCCGAGCAGCCCACCGCAGTGACCCAGGGTGGAGGACCCTGAGCTGCCCGTGTACTCGAGAAAGTGACAACCCAGCGGGGTGGGACGGCTCGGTCACAGCTAAGTGGTGGCAGCACCGAGACCAGGGCCCCCGTCTGACACCTGCACTCCTCATCGTTCCTCAGGACACCGACTGGGAGCCCCACCCACTGCTGGCGGGAACGCAGATGGTGCTGCGGCCCTGGAAAACCACGCGGAGGTTTTTTCAAAAAGTTGAACAGAGCACGTGACCCAGCCATCGCCATCCCAGGCGTGGACCCAGAGTGAGGGCGGGAGGGCAAACAGAAATGACACCAGTGTTCACTGCGGCACCTCTCACAGGAGCCCCAAGGTGGAAACAACGGAAACGTCCCTCAGCAGAACAGAAACAGCGGGGTCCGCCCACAGCGCGGGAGCCCGCTCAGCCACAGAGAATGAAGTCCTGAGGGCGCTACAGTATGGATGGACCCTGAAGACAGCACGCTGAGTGCAGTCCGTCCGTGCCAAGGAGACAGACAGCGCACAACCTCACTTCTGTGAAAAAAGCAAATCTACAGAAGCCAACGACGGTGACAGTTACCGGAGCGGGAGGGGGGTGAGGAAGGAGAGGTTTCTGCTCCGGGGGCACTGAGTTTATGTTAATGGTGGTGGGAGAGTTTGGAAAACGGGAGTGAGAACGGGCACACAACTTGAAGGATGTAATCAGCGTCCCTGAAGTGTGCGTGTGGACACCGCTGAGGGCCTCGGGCTAGCAGCACCTAGCTGGCACTGCCATCTTGGCGGTAAACCCCACGCCTGTCTGGGTGGAACAAGGACCCTGAGGCCTGTGCTGCCCGCCGCCTCCTGCTCACACTTCTCCTTCCTCGGCCACGGAACAGACGCGTCCGAGGGACGCACAGGAGAGTCCAGAGTCCCCGCCCGACTCCCCACATCCCGTCCACCAGACTTGCCGCCACGCAGAGTAGAAGGGCAGTGCCGTCCAGCTGGCCCCCACGTGGGCCTGTCCTCCCGGACGCAGTGGCTCAGAGGGCAGCTGAGAAGGAGGCTGTCGTTTCTAACAGCATCCACAGCGCGCGACCAGCTGGAGCCGCCCCAGGCCTAGCGCCTTCACGGCTCCTGCAGGAAGGTAACCCACGACACACGTTTATTAATGGCAGGAAATTGTATACCGCCCTCAATCTCTTCCTCTGCCGAGAGGCCTCTTCCTTAAAGTCGACCACGAAACCACTTCAGAGTGATTCCCGCAGTGCGGCTCACTCGCCAGCAGCCACTTGTCAGCGCCCCGTCCCCTCCCACCCCAGAGGGCTGCTCCTCGCAGCTGCTGCCCCTCGCCTGCCGGGCGCGAACGGGCACTCCCACCCAGCAGCACTCACCCCAGCTGCAGGCACGTGGCCCCCAGCACGGCCAGACCAGCTCTGCACCCCGGGCCAAGCGCACCCCGAGAAACCACCAGCTGTGCCTGCCGACGGCGGCGAGACGCAGGGCCTCGTCTGCCGGCCACCACTCATTGCCGGCACTGTGGGCGTCACTCCAAGGAGGAGGGAGAAGGCGGTCCTGAGACACAGTCGGGGTCTCCGAATGGAAAAGGGCAACGTTAGGGTCAGAGCTGGAAGCAGATTCGGGCCTGGAGACGGCACGGCTTGTAGGACGTCTTTAAGAAATGCACAGCACAAGCCCGCTCTTTACATTTTCCCAGGAGGCACCTGGAGAAAAGTCCTACCATGCCTATCGCCAGCATGGCCCCCACTCTGAGGCCTGCACCCCCGGGCGTCGCCGGCACCCCACCCACCACCTCATTCTCGCCTGCTCTCAGGATCCACGATGATGCCAGGGGAGGGGCAGGGGCCACACCTGCAGCGGCGACACCACTGAGGCCGCACGGGGGCACCAGCCAGGCCGCCAGCGAGTGGCCGTGGTCCAGCCCCCCTACTCCCCCTTGACCAACACTGGCCCCGGGGCAGAGAACCACTAGCCAGTGACAGAGTGGCACCCAGCCCCATGCTGGGAGGGACAGCCTCGGCGGGCAGAGCCCTGGTCCTCAGCACCAGCTTCTGTCCCAGCCGGGGAGGGGCCGCTGCCCATGCTGCCCGCTCCATCTCCGGCACCCCCCACAAGCGCGTGGGCTCCCGCTGTGCGCCCTC